AAAAGTGTTGCTCAACTTCAATGGATGGAGATAATGTGCCTTTTAAGGGCTTTGGGGTTTTGTTTTGTTTTTGCTAAAGACTAGCTCTCATTTTACTAAACACCCACTAGCTTACTTTGTAGAATATTTGTAGCCTTTGCTCACATGAGAATCCCAAGACCACAATGCCTCCCTGCAATATACTAGACTTTCAAACAAGGGCTGCTACTTACAGATTACAAAAGCTTACTGGGCCATATTCTTAAACCATCCTAAATAACTACCACTAGGTTAGCACCCATCTAGATACATCCCCAAGCCCAATTCAAATGAGATGCTCAAAATATCTGAAACAGTGGTAGCATAGAATCACATACATGTAGGCATCCTACACATACAATGATGGCTGGAATGATGTCTAAAAGTATCTGAAGTTCCTAAATTTGCATGCCACAAAAACTTGTGGATATTGGGTGTGTGTACTGTATATATCTGTGTCTGCAGATAGTGGGGACTTTTTAAATGTGACAGTGGGGTGCATGCAATTTAGTATATGTGTTTATTTTTCATACATTTAGCATTTGTGATAAACTATCTACTTTTCAGACAAACCTTCCAGCAGCTGACATAAAAACTCTGAAAACTCTTAGGTATCAATAAATGTACGTATACAAGACAATACAGTGAAGACAGCCTGGGGGTGGGGTAGATCCTGAAAGGAAAATCTTTTCTCCATTCTGGCAAGAATAACTCTGTGCTGGTAGCAGAGAGAAGAGGGTAATTCAACTAGCACGCTGGTGACTAAACAGTAGGCAGTTCAGAAAGCTTGAAAAAAAGCTTAGTAGTTGTTTCAATATAGATGAATCAGTTGCTGTTACAGTGTGGTTAGGTATCCCAGTACATTAGGTGTACTTTAGATAGCCCAGAGATACCCAGTGTGGTATTATGGATAGAGTGACAGATTAGGACTTAAGAGTTCAAATCCCCACTCAGCCATAGAAACTGGGGATGTAGAACTGGTAAAATCGCTCCTTAAATAGTTCACTTACCTTGAAAGCCCTCTTAAAAGTTGCTAGAAGTCAGTTCCGACTTGACAGCATGTAATATAAAATGGCCCTAGAGTCCTGCAAACTGCACTTAGCTGCTGAAAGGAAAATAAATTCATACTTGCTCATAAGTAAAGCCCTTGGGTATTAGGAAGCCTACTATCAGGCCAATCAAGACAGGTTACTTACCTGTAACTATAGTACTTTGAGTAGTTTTCTGTGATTTCCCACATCAGGGTCTTCCTGCACCTATGCAGGAGCCTTCGGATGTTCCAGAATGTTTAGCCTCAAGCCTTCTTTCCCCAGTCCCTAGGCTTCAACTGTTAATGGATCCTCCTCAAACCTATTCCATCTGCTATGTAGTTCCAAATAACTTGTTGCTAGGCATGGCAGAAGGAGGGGAGGACAGGAGGAATGTGTAAATTCAGAGGACCATTTGAGAATTATATAGTTATAGATAAGAAACTTGTCCTCCTTTGTGCTCTCTGTGAATACACAGAAGGCTGACTAATAATAAGCTGACTTACTGGATAGTGGGTTGTCATGCCAGCAACAAAGACAATGTACTGTCTGACCAAAAGAAGCATCACTTTAAGCATGTATGTCAAGGTGTTAATGCTTCAAAAATCTCATTGGTCGAGACCACATAACTGCTTTCAAAATGTCTGTAATCTTTACACCTTTCAAGAATGTTTCTGATGTTCCTTAGCTCTACCTAGTTGGATGGCTTCTAATAACATTTGTCAAAGGTAATCCTGCCAACTTGTATAATAATCTTATTTTTAGGACAATGAAAGATTCCTGCAAGTGTAGTTTTCAACTGTGTTCAAATAAGCAGTCGAGCACCACACAAACCAAAGACTGTCTCTCTTACCCAGAATTTCTATTTGAAGCCATTACATCAAACAGGCATAATTTTGACTATAATTAAAGTAGAAGCAAGGGAAAGAGTGGTCTTATAAGGATCGTAATACAAAGAAGAGAAAAACCAGGGAAATATTAATTTCCCTTTAAAATTGTTCATAAACAGGAATATGTTGTTTTATTAGCCACTTTTTTTCTTGCATGGTCTTAATTCCACATGCTGAATGGTTTCAAATGGTAGAATTTTGCTGAAGAAATACGAATGATGACGAGGAGCCTGATGAAATGGAGTTGCTTGTGTAGTCTAAATTCTGTCTCTACATTATATCACATTTTCAGCAGTGATAAAAGGCTTTGCCAGCACTGTTAAAAAAACAAAAAACACCACAGCATTTTAACAAAGATGCAATAACCTTTGCATACAAAATCCATTCTTATCTTAATGGTTCTGTTAAAAGATGAGAAGAGCAGCAAGCAAGATCGATAGCAAAACAATGGCAAGCAGCAAGTCAACAATCTATAACTGGAATATATCACGTGAAGCAAATCATGTACACAGAGTAGGTGAAATTTTAATCACATCAGATATTTGCTGATTGCACATGTAACATGTAGTGAATGTCTTCAAAACACCCTCCACAAAGATGGTGAACCAAACTAGGTAGTTTACCTGTTAACAGTCATCTCTGTACAAAAGAAAAATACAGATGCCATTTTAACAGCCAAGAAAAACTGCAGTTTATTAAGTTTCAAAGAATCTTCGTACTCTTGAAAGCAACTTCTGGTGCATGTTTTTAACAATCACATTCTATGAGGAGAAATAACATTAAAAGCCACAAACTTTTTAAATCTTTTCATCTCAGAGTTACAGACATCTTGAATTCAAAATGAAAGGCAAAAAAATAAAGTAAAATAAAAAATCAACAGGATTTTTTTTCTTTAAATGTCCATCCCCAATTTTAAATGATCGGGAGTTCTTTTTCTACAACTCATTACTAAACTTTAGCATGGAAAACTGTTTTGACTATTTCAATCCGCACATAGGCACATATGTATTTTATATATAAATATAATGTGTTTGCTTGTGTGTGTGTATTAAGAGAGAGATATATATATACACAATACATATGTAGAGTGCGCATAATGAGAATGAGATGCAATCACTCTGAGAAAAGGGTATTCAGCTAAATACACTATGAAAACTTGAGAAAACACAAGTCTGGAACCCAATCTGTGCATAGTTCATGATCCTCTAGAAAACCAGCTTTTGTTGATTTGCAATCTTGCAGGACCCTTTTTAATTGGACAAAACCATTAAAAAGCTAATCGTCAACAAAACAAAACAAAATGTAATGCACAAGTTTCCTGATCCAAGCAGGCAGGGAGCACAATGTTCATATAATTTTTAAAAACATACGAAAAGGGTATGTTATTCCATTGTCTTTCTTCCTTTCAAAACAATCAAAAAACATTGATCATTTTTAAACATAAAGCAATTTTTAATATATAAAGCACTCTTCAAACATCTATTTCTTTTGAGTCCATTATTTGGTAAATATGTAACTGCTACACATTAGATTAGGTATTTTTCTTCTTCTCTTACTGTCTTTTTAATTTTTTTTTCATTTTGTTTTTTAATAATATCTTCAGTGCTAGGAGTTGGGTTTAAAAAATACATGAAATGGTGTGGAGTTGCTCCTCGGGAAACCCGGCTTTCCTGAGACATCTTCCACCATGTGCAAGATAGTGATCACAATATTTTTCGCCACTCTTGACGAAGAGGAGGAAAACAACAACAACAAAAAAAGAGTACACCAGCAATGGCCAAAGAAAAGGATAAACAACAATAACAACAATAACAACAACAAACACTGTTCAATCCCAGAGCTCTGAAGTAGCATATCTTCATTCTGAAAATAGGTTTCTTTATGATGGAAGTCTATTTTTTTTCTTTTTTTCAATTCCTTTTTTATTTTAAAGTTTGAAGGAGGAAAAAAAAGGTCTGTAAACAGGTGGGAGCTGAAACCGTAGGCTCCTCCAAAAGCAGTCAAAACCTATGTCCAAGTGCTTGTTTCTGTTCCGGCTTGCAGGGAACCATCCACTCTTTACAAGTATTTATGGCCACAGTTCAACAAGAGTTTTTTTTTTCCTTTTTAAAACTTTATATTCCGAATGGAAAAAAAATGGTGCAATACTCCGGTAATTATTTCCTTGCATTAGTCCACAATAAAAAGCTACTAAAGGTAGATATACATATTATTCTCCAGAGATACACACTGTAAGTTTTTTTTTTAATGCGGTAAGAGTCCTTGAGTAAACATTTACACATGAATTGTCGCCAGCCCCTCCTATCAGGTTTTTTTTTTTCATTTTTTTTAAACAAGGATTAGCTACAAGAAGGGCTGCGGACACTCAGTGCAAAGTTAGAAGCTAATAACAATTAAACATTTGACCAATGAGCAAATCAAAAGCATATACCAAGAAGGAAAACAAAAAGAAAAGAGAAAATCACACAATTCGTTAAGTTGTACAACTGGCACCCATACACACACACTCATACATTCACACATCGATCCATCTTTTCCCCAAAGCATACATATAAGAAAGAACTTAAAAAAGAATAATCCTAGAGCCTGTTCATTTGTCTTCTGATGCCAACCTGGAAGTGTCATAATAGAAAGTGTTCACATTTTGTTATTGGCCTGCTGGATTCAAGTATAGTTGCATGTTTGATATGTGTATGTGTATTTTTAAAAATGTTTTTTTTTAAACTATGGGGGGATTAAAAAAACAATGACACAAAAAGTAATGAAACAAGTGTTAATGTGCATAGGCAAGACCCACGGGAGCAGTGGATGTGGTTATTCCACCCCACCTCTCAATCCAAGCTGTACAGCTGAGGGGCGCTAAGATTTGTTCCCCTGATGCTGCTGACGGGCTGGTCAGACGCCAGCCCCTACTGATTAATGGATCCGCCTCTGGTAATGTGCATAATTATCACAGGCTCGTTTTTTTTAAATAGGCTTTCTCACATTCCCCCCTTCCCTCCCCCCAACTCCCAAAGTTGATAAAATAACCCTTTCCAGCCCAAATTCTGAAAAGTGCCCTTCATGATAGAACTAGTCTAAGCAGCTTTTATACGTTTTTAAAAACACCATACAAACATAAAAACAAAAATTAAAAAGCCATTGGAAAATAAACCTCACATAAAACCTATCATTAGCACGTGACACTGACCAAATAAATGGAGCCCATACTGTTGCACTAACAGTTCACAAGGACTTCAGCAGATTTTCGTAGTCAATATTGGACAGAGGTACTAAAAAAAGGGCTGCCAGTCTGATCTATTAAAGCTGGATTCTTCGCGATGCCCTGGACTGGAAAGGGTTACCATTACTTTTTTTTTCTTTAGTGCTGATGATTGTTACTTCCGTTTTGTTTTTCTGGTGTCCTAGATGGACTCCCCGCTGAGAAGGTCACCTGGGAGCAGAGTATTCAAAGGCGTTGGGCTTCCAATCACCCTGCCGTCATCGGCACTGGGTGGACCCCAAAGGCTGCTCGAGTACTGAGGGACCCCACCCCAGAGGAGATCGCTGCTCCCTTTCCCACCTAGGCAAGGGGGATTCCAGTGGCCTGCATCGTTGCGCACCATGCCGTGTGAGCTGCTTGTAGAGCCCAAACGGGTCTGAGTGGTTCCAGTGTTGGACTGCCAACTGGAGGTGGGGGGCAGTGGCTGGCCTTGTGCTAAAAAACGGTTCACTTCCTCTTCTCCAGCAAACTCGGCCAAGATGGTAGTGTTCCCCAAAACGCACCTAAAAGCAGAGGGAAAGACATAGAGATGCTCAAATGGAAACCACTGACATACTCTTCAGTGAGGTTAGAGCAGAAGTCCTGTCCAAAGCTATTTCCACAGTAATTTAATATCATGCTGTGAAAATCCAACAAAGGAACTCTTACCCATTTTGTCTTACTATACAATTACTCATATACCGGTACATATAACTGTTCACTCTTTGTGCAGAATGTTAAGATTCAGTTATGAGCTACTTAATCATGAAGCTCTTTGGATGTTCAGATGCATGCAAGGACGGAAGTATGCACCTATTTATGTTCCATAATCTGTTTTAACAGCAATATTATTATTATTTTTTGGTTTTAAAAGGGAATGGGGAAATGCTGTGCAATAGAGAAGTGTGTGGATGCCTGCAAAACAGTTGCTGATTTTAGTTGGTCTAAATACTCAAGTACCTGATATGCGAACCTTCATTCTATGGTTGTTGTGGGTTTTTCAGGCCTTTTGGCCGTGTTCTGAAGGTGGTTTTTCCTAACATTTCGCCAGTCTCTGTGGCCGGCATCTTCAGAGGACAGCAAACTGTGCTCTGGGTAAGGCTTGAGAGTGGAGTATTTATGGCTGTGAGATAGGCTTGTTTGTGAGAAGGCTATTGTCCTATCAGGAGATGGTTAATTAGTATGTTTTGTTGTGGCTGTATTGTTTTGATAAGGAGGGGAGATTATCTGTCCCTGTGGTTGATGGGTGTCATTAGCTGGTCTTTTGTGTGTAGTAATTCCCTGACCTTGTGGCTGGGTGGAGTTCGTTGACCTTTTGCACTCTGTGTCTTTGAGAGCTGGGAGCCAGGTTTTGTTGAGTTTCAGGCTTTCCTCCTCATTCATTCCTCCTCCTTCATTCTATGGCCTGTTTACACTCATAGTTGCTTGTCAAAATCCTAATACTGTACATTTTGATATCTGAATACCTGTCTTAGCCAAAGAAGGAATTTGATCAGGAGGAACTGACATGTGTGGTTGGAAATGCTCTACTGAAAGGGATGGAGGCAGCAATATTCATATTACCATATTTTTCCATGTATAAGATGCTCCCCTTTCTAACCCAAAATTTTTCCTTTGCAAGAAAGAGGAGGGGGAAGGCAGGGATCAAAGTGCTTTCCCCCTCCACTTTCTTTGCAAAAAACTGCTTTTCCCCTCTCAAAAAGTGGAGAGGGAAAGAAGGGATCAAAGCGCTCCTCCTACCATGTATAAAATGAACTTCAATTTTTCCTCTATTTCAGAAAAAAGTGTCATGTTATATACGGAAAAATACGGTACATGTGTCATCTTAGATGGTTGGTTCCTCTCCTGGAGATGCATTCAAGACATGACCCCAATAGATTATTAATTTATACTAACAACCCACGGGTGAAAAGCTTACTCTCAGAAGAAATGAACAGATTTACAAAGAGTATGATGCCCTGGGTAATAAAGGGAATGGGCGGGGTGGGGTGGGGTGGGGACATGTTCTTTAGTGCTTTCTGTTGAAAGTTAGGGCATTCCTAGGGAAAGAATAATGCTGAAAGCAGAATATGCAGAGAGCAGAGATTGGCCATATTGGTGGGATATTCTCAGCTATGTAGCTGCAGAAATAAATAAATAAATTTATTTATTTATTTATTTATTTAATTTATACCTCACCTATCTAGTCATTTCGACCACTCTAGGCAGCTTACAACATAAAAACATAACAAGTTTAAGAAAAATTTATAACGATTAATTAATTAAATGATTCTGCAAGATGGGAAAAATACAAAATAAATCAAATAAAGATAAAAAGGAAGGAAAGAGGTCAGGCCTGCCTATACATCCATGTTTTTAATTGGTTTTTAAACTACTACTCTCTATGCAGACTGAAAAGAATGTTGATGGCAGAAGTCTTGTAACCTGGATTGAGACTGGTTTAAACTAATCCTTGGAGAGGAAGCATCAAAGACCTCTGAGTTGGGTATTAAGAATATGAATACACAGAAGGCAAGATGGTACAGACATATGTACAGACAAGGAGGGGTACAGAGGAATCTTAAAGGATGGTGTGAGGAAGGTGAAGGCTCAGAATGAATGAAAGGGATAACAACAAAGAATGAACAGAGGGACAACAAAAAGGCTGTTTAGGTTATGTTAAGAGCAAGAAAGAGAGGAAGGTCTTCACTGCTTAGGTAAGCATATGAACTGTCGACAGATGATGAAGAGAAGGTGAAACTACTCTACTCAACTCCTTTGCCTCATATACTTTCTGCAAGGGGAACTGTCTTCTCCATGAAACAAGGGAAACAAATGATATATGAAGGAGCTTGCAGCTGACTATGGGTAAGAAGATGCTTGAAGAGCACATAACTTAATGTGAGTCATCTCACGGACCAGAGAATGGAGTATTCCAAAAGAACATGTGGAAATCATTTCAGAATTACTGTCTGTAATCTCAAAAAATTTCTTAAGAACATATAAAGTGCTAAAAAGGCAACTGTTACCTCCATCTTTGAGAAGGAGAAACAGATGAATCCAGGAAATGGTTAGGAGACTAATTAGTCTGAGACTAATACTCAACAAAATTCTAGAATTGATGGAGAAATAATGAATTAATCATTAGGTACCAGAAAGGGTTTTTTTTTTTCAGGAATATGACATGCCAGGGCAATCTTCTTTTTTGATTGAGTTACTAGTTTGATATACTGTATCATGACAATTGTATGGAAACAATATGTCTTTCTTTTGGCAAAGCTCTTGACAAGGTGTTTTGTGATATGCTTCTTGACATGATGGTAAAGTTTGAATGAAGGGATACTATACTTAGGTAGTCCCACAGCTAATTCAGTGAATGACCCTACTCATTGAGTGCTAATTAATGGCTTTCCATTCTCTGGGAGGGAGATTTTGAGTAAAGGGCCTCAGGGCTTCTTCCCAAGCCCTGTGCTATTCCACATTTTTCATAAATGAGCTAGATGAGGATGTTGATGGATTGCTTGTCAAAGCTACAAATGACAAAAAGCTATAAAAGATACAATAAAGATCCAGAAAGTTCTAGAAATACTGCAATACCAGCCCAAAACGAATGAAAGGAGGAGGTATTAGGTTCCACTTTGCTACATGTATTTACTCAGTGGGAACAAATGTACCTCATTTTGAACTTCCCAGTTGTTCTAGGTATGCCCTGTATCATGAAGGTGATTGTTTCTCTGTATTTCGTTATCTAGTTCTCCTATTTCAACTCCCACACAATCATTATAGACATATGAGTGTAAGGATCTAGAACTAATACTGAACCACAGCCAAGATGGAATAGATTGCATACATGTGCAGAGACTTCTGGGCCTTCGCTGCTTCTTCCTTGGAACTGTAACGGACCACAGCATTCCCTTGAGTCAGATTCAGATGGAATGTAATAAGAGGACCATGTTGCAAGCATAGCGTACGCAGTGTTGAACCATCAATCTAATTAGAGAACAAAGAAGAAAACATTAGATTGCCATATTCTATCTTTTCCTGATGCCTGTCATTATTCCCTTCATTAAAGGTAGGGAACATTTTAACCAGAAAATCAAAACAGGATCCTCAATGAAATATTAAAATGCTCATTAGATTTTGATTTACCTTAATGCAAGAACAGCTTATTCTATCACAGATGGAACAGCCAACAGGTGGGATATGCATATTATATTTCATTTCAGCAGGCAGATTTTATAGGCTTTGTTCAGAAAGCATTACTGTAACACAGATGTAGTAGCCAACCTTTACCCAGTGCATCATGCATTTAAGTACATTCCCCTCTGGAGGCTGAGTGTAGGAGGGAATCTAGGATCTGTTTCCTTCTCTATGATAACCTGTCTCGGCAAGCCTGCACCAAGGATGTTGCCATTAAGTCTGAAAGCTTTAACTGTTAGGATTTATTTAATCATTAAAAGGAAGAATGAATTTGTCTCAGGGTACAGCATCTAGGCTTTCTTTGGGTCTCCCCCACCGCATGGCCTGGGGTGGTGGGGCTTTCTGCTTTCAATGAGCGTGTCCCAGGACCCTGGGCCCTTTTCCCTAGGAAGCTGTGCTGAGGCTGAAGGCCAGGTATGTTTGCATGGACATGTTGCTGAGGAGTTTTTTTCTAGGCTTTCTTTGGGTCTGCCCCACCGCATGGCCTGGTGGGTGGGACCGGGGGTGTGGGGCTTTCTGCTTTGAAGGAGCGTGTCCCAGAATCAGAGAATTTGAAATTCTCAAATTCTCTGATTCTATCTCTGGCCATAATATAGTAAATAGGAAAGCCAATTCGATTTGCATACATCTGGGAGGCAGGAAAGTTCTAAGGGTCGGATCATACTTCCGCTCTATGAAAGAACAGGCTGGGTAGGTGGGGCTCGTCAGCCATGGAAGGCAGCCCATCTAGGAGAAGGAAAACTCTGATTTCAAACCTCCACTGCCTTGTGGCTATATCCACCGATGGAAAAGGCTTCAGGAGTTAACCTAGAGGCAAAATCCGGAGCTGGAGTCCCGAAGGCAGCATGTGTCATTCTGCCAACTCCTGCGACATTGCTGGATCCAGTTGTATTGGCTCTTGCCTTTCCATTGGACCATTTCAGCAATGTGGAGGGGGGGCTCTGCTGCTTGGGTAACAGCCTATCCTCCATACTACCTTACCCGGGCTTCATGCTCTGGAGAGGACACTCCTCGATTCAGAGCATGTCACCATAGTCTCTCAAGACTGAAGGATGCCTATGACAGCATCTGACCTAGATGGCAAGTGTCAGAGAGTTGTCTAAAATGAATTATTTCTCTGAAATTTGCTTTCCTAAACATACTGCCACTAAAAACTCACTGTGTTGTAACACTGTAATAGTCAGATAGCTAGCCTTTGAATACTAGGGGATGATTTGGATGTTCACCTCATGTTAGCTTTAACTATGCATACAAGATGAAAAGCATGAAGAGGAAACTTGTGCATCCCTCCTACAAGCAGGTGAACAGGTGAAGGCACTGTACTTCTGATTCTCACGCACTTTACAACTCCAGAGAGTTAGAGGGTACTCCAAATTGGATGTGCGAACATCTTATGTACCTGATTTTGTGCTCCCATCTACTATCCACAGGCAGCACAGGGATACTGTAATATGCATGCCACTACTTACACTACTGAAAAGCAAAACTTGTGGCTTTGGCTCCATTACTATCATTAGTGATCTAGACATGAACAGTCCTAAATGAGAGTTGGTTGGTTGTTCATCCCATCATTTTTAACTAAAAACTCAATCAGTTTATGTCCGTTGCTTGTGTCTATTCTACACGATGTATGATGCAAGGATCCAATTAAAAAGTGAATTAGGATTTACTATTACAGTGGTGCCTCGCATAGCGATGTTAATCTGTGCAGCAAAAATAGCTGCTATGCGATTTAAAAAAGCCCATAGGAATGCATTGAAACCCCCTCAATGCGTTCCTATGGGCTTAAAACTGACCTTTAAGCGAAGATCCTCCATATAGCGGCCATTTTCACTGCCCGGTGAATCCGTCCCTAAACACAGTGGGCAGCCATTTTTTTTACCCGGCGGCCATTTTGGAACCACCGATCAGCTGGGGGAAATCATCACTTTGCGATAATCGGTAAGCGAAACAGAGAACCGATCATCGCAAAGTGAAAAAAAAAACCTTTTCAGACCATCGCAAAAGCAATTGCAAAATCTTCATTGCTATGTGATTTCGACGTTAAACAGGGCGCCCATTAAGCGAGGCACCACTGTATATCTAAACAATGTAAAGCACGGTATAAGGGCTTATATTTAATTCCTGCTAACATATTGCCTAAGTGCGATGTCTGTAAATAGCACACGCCCTAAAAAAATCCCAAGCAAATCAGTCATTAAAGACAACGATCCTAAAACTGGCATCAACAGGCAACTGTATGCGACAGGAGGCTGCAATAGTTGTCCTAGTTAATGTAGGCTATGGACACAATGGAAGGATTTTGAAGCAAGGGCCAAGTGTCCCTTCCTGCCAACACAGTTAGACCACAGGACATTCCTTATTTCATCCACAAGCTTTGCTTACCTGGGGTGTGAGGTTACGGAGGACTAGCCAGCTGCTTGTTCTTCCTGAGCTGTCCGTACTCCAGGCTGAGCCTACAGTATAAAGAAGGGAAATATTAAGGAAAGTCCAAACAAATGATCAAATATAATATAATGGAGAGAGTATAACATCCCTATTCATCATGAACATGACAAATACGCATGTTATAGGAATTTTTAATTAGATTGTTGTCTCAATATTCTCATGGTCAATGGTTTATCCAAAGCCTGCTAGTCTTTCTTCATAAGTACCTGTTCTTAAAACTGTACTGTAGAACAGTGGGCTATGAAGAATCCTTATTCTTACTTGCTGCTATATACAAATATTGCTGTCATTCCTAGAGGGGCAGAAATAATGGACCAAACCCTCCTTTGTGTGTGTGTGTGTGTGTGTGTGTGTGTGTGTGTGTGTGCACCCAGCTCTACATCTCCTTTCCACCAACTGAAGGAGATGCCGTCCTGTCCCTTCAGGGTTGCCTGGGGGCTGTACTGCAATGGATGCAGGATAGCCCAGCTGTGACCCTATTTCGATACGGGGGCACTCACTACCTTGGTTCATGCGCTTGTAATCTCCAGATTAGACCACTGCAATGCGCTATAAGTGGGGCTACCTTTGAGGTTGACACGGAAACTCCAGGTGGTGCAGAATGCGGTGGCCAGACTCCTTACTGGAGCGAGAAAATTCCATCATATTTCTTCTATTCTGGCTGCGCTGCACTGGCTGCCCATTTGTTTCCACGCTGACTTCAAAGTTTTGATGCTTACGTACAAAGCCCTAAACGGTTTAGGGCCTTGATACTTGGCGGAACGCCTACTCACACCAAGTTCTACCCATGTCACTTGTGCGAGTCAGGAGGTGAGGCTGAGGAGCCTAATGCCGAGGGAGGCCCGGAAGGAAAAAACAAGAAACTGGGCCTTCTCGGCGGTGGCTCCTCGCCTCTGGAACAACCTACCTCTGGAGATTTGCGCGGCCCCCTCGCTGGGTATTTTAAAAATCAACTAAAAACGTGGATGTTTCGGCAGGCCTTCCCTCCAGTTAATTCCTGATGTTTTCCTTTTCTCTCTTCTCCTATTGTTCGCCTTCCATCTTGTTGAATTTATTATGTAATAATCCTTTTAATATTTATTTTATGTGTATTTTATGTTGTAAGCCGCCTAGAGTGGTCATAATTGACCAGACAGGCGGGATATAAATAGAATAAAATAAATAAATAAATAAATAAAATGTTTTCTTCTTTCTTGCCAAAATTAATGCAAACATGACAAAGGAAATGCAAGCTCCAAGCTGAAATCTTAATACAAATGACTTAACTTTTGGAAGTGAATCACCTTAAGACCATTACAATATAGGGTTTTGATTAAAGATATTAGCAAACCAAGTGCCATTTTTGGCATCTGTTGGATTGTGTGAGGCCAAACTGCAGTGCCTGGCACACTAATGGAATGTACAAGAAGCCATATGATTTCTAAGGTCGGATAGTCTATTGCACTCAAGCTGTAGCTGAAACTGTCATTATATGTCCACCAGGTGGAGCTCATAAAAAGCAAATGACAAATGTATTCTCGAAGGCTTTCATGGCCCGGATCCGATAGTTGTTGTGGGTTTTCCAGGCTGTTTGGCCATGTTCTTAAGGTTTTTCTCCCCAACGTTTTACCAGTCTCTGTGGCCGGCATTTTCGGAGGACAGAACTGTCTATGCTCTGGGTTCTGACTCCTGTCCTCTGAAGATGCCGGCCACAGAGACTGGCGAAACGTTAGGAAGAAAAACCTTAGGAAAGCCAAACAGCCAGGAAAACCCACAACAACCAAATGACAAATGCTTTTTTTCAAAAAGGGGTGATAGAGGAGTTCATCTGAACACTTGCTTCTATAATTACTATGACATTCTCTCTCTCTCTTTTTTTTTTTTTGGAAGAAACCCTTCCATTGCACTGAAATATAAAACAAATAATAATAGATCATATTAAAATCAAACATATAATATCCAAAATGGATGAAGCTATTATCCAGACTCATACCTGAAGATAAATTATAAGCCCCAGACACAAATGACCTTTTCACATTTATCAGCTATTAGACAAGATATGCCCCTGAAACAGTGTAATCAAAGATACCAACATGAATTTGACCCAACTCCGGGAGGCAGTGGAAGACAAAAGGGACTGGCATGCTCTGGTCCATGGGGTCACGAAGAGTCAGACACGACTTAACGTCTAAACAACAAAAATGCCCCTGAAAATCTCTTTTTTGCCTTAATGTTCAGAACTATGCCACAAAAACTTGCCATCATCCACCCTGTCTTTCTAAAAGATTCTGTTGAGTGCTGTTACAGGCTGAAATCCATTTAAGAATTAAAATTTGGGAGTACAATTGATCAGTGGAAAGATTTTTTTACTAGTACTGGAGGGAAAAAATCCTAAAGCCAAATGTAAAGACTCTACCCTCCCTAAAGCTGCATTTCAATAACTATCTAACACGACCTCCTACTTCCTCCTAGTTTCCTAGCTCACTGATCAATCTCTCAAGGTCTACTTGAATCTCTGAAATCCTGAGAGGTGATTTTTATTTCTCCTCTTCTTTCCCCATGCTTATTTGCTAAATAAGCTGCTCTCCCATGTCCATATTCAGTTATTTTGCAATTAGTTCTTTAAAGTGCATTTTAACTGGGAATGTCTGTTCTCAATCTGGTGTTTGAGAATCTGGTGTTTGAGATCTACGCCAAAACCATGGGAAATACTGACCCCAATGACAAGTAGAAGATGTTACCTTCTGTGGAGAAGATGCCCTATGTTCTCTCCATTTTTATCCATGTCAACTGACAGAAGAAACGAACAACTAGTATGGCACACACACACTGCCCCAAATATGCCTGGCATACCCTTTAGCAGTGTGCACACAGCCACTTCAACTGTTATGGACTTTAATAGAAAGAAGATGTGCCATCTACTCTATGGCCTAATGCAGTGATTCCCAACCTTTTTGGACTGCAATTCTCAGAAGCCCTTGCCAGCACAGCTAGTGGTGAAGGCTTCTGGGAGTTGCAGTTGAAGAATGTCTGGGGGACTCAAGGTTGGGAATCATTGGGCTAATGCATATGTGATGTTATTGTTCTGCTTCCACTTCTTTCTACTTCCTGATTGGTTTGCCCAATTTAGGGATTACCAGCTTCTCAGGACAGGAACCTGATCTCTTTTTACTCTGTAAGGCTGACAATATTATATACATCACCTGTACTTAGTGCCACAGTAAGCTGTTTTGTAATAATCCTGCCAATCCATTTTGGACTACAAGTAACACCCATGAAGAACAACACATTCTGCACTAGGACTGTGCAGAATATCAAAAGCAAAACAGGTCCTGATCATCACAAAAACTGATAATCTAATATGCCTTTTTGCTATGTTTTAAAAATTAATTACAGAAGATTAGAATATTCACCTCCCACATATAGCACAATCAACCTATATCCTTAATTCTATTTTTAACTGTATACCCCTCCCAACATTACAGCCTGAATCTTGAGCACAGCACCCTTGTATCTTCTTAAATATAAAGAAATTGCTATATTAGGAAAACACTTCTTAGTGCACAAACTACAATTGCACAGGGTTTCCCCCAAAATAAAAAGACAACAACCTAGGTGTGGGGGGAGTGAGGGGGAGCCAGCATTTTGCTGAATCAATTAGCACTTTCACTTACTTGCAATCATGGATAGGACATTAACAAAACCAAACCAAACAAACCAGAATCATATATACAATTAGCAAATTCAGTTTCTCCAAATAATTGTCTTTACAGAGACAAAACACCACTATCGAAGCAAAAGAACAAATTATCCATAGTTTGGAAGCATTCCAAAACTTGCAGAAGTGTTTTTAAAAGGTTTTAAAAATGGCCCCTTTAATGGACCAGTAAGGACCAAGCACACCTGGGGGAGGGATACAGAATTTTATTTATAAGTGGCTAACTACTGGAAAGAAACAGAATATCAGGAAGAAGGAAAAATGAAGCATTTTGACTCCTGAACAGGAAGACTCCAACCAGTGGAATATTTTGCTATGCTTGTCACTTGCATATATCAGCAGTGAACTCCAACTCTCTAAGTTATAATACTTATACAGTGGTGCCTCGCTTAGCGATCCCTCCATTGAGTGACTAAATCGCTTAGCGATGGAGCTTAAGCGATTGCAAAAGCGATCGCTTAGCGATGGTCCCTATGAGGAAAATTCACTTTGCGATGATCGCGGGGAAGCGATCATCGCAAAGCCCCCATTTTTGGCCAGCTGATCGGCAGTTTCAAAATGGCCGCCGGGTAAACAAAATGGCCGCCCGCTGTGTGTCCTCACTTTAGAGGCACCGAAAATGGCTGCCCCTATGGAGGATTTTTGCTTAAGGTTAGTTTTGAAGCCCGTAGGAACGCATTAATGGCATTTTAATGCGTTTCTATGGGCTTTTAAATTCCGTTTAGCAATGAAATCGCTTAGCAATGTTTTTTCCTGCACAGATTAACGTCGCTAAGTGAGGCATCACTGTATAGCCAAAATGGCACATCTATGCGGAGGAGGGAGACTCTCACAGAGCTGGGGGTTTATACAAGTCCCAAGCATGTTCATTAAAAAAAATGAAAGAAAAAAAAGAGAGAAAGAGAGAGACAGAAAGAGGAAAGATACCATACACATCCCGGGCTGAAGATACTTTGTGGCTGTGAAATATTGACTGATTGTTAAGAAGGGGGAAAATGGGAACACAATGGAATGAAATAGCTGAAAGGATAAAATAAGTCATTGCCTGAAGTCTGGAACAGAAATACTTGATAACACATTTTATTGCAGGGCAGATTTATTTGCCTTTCTAACAGTACCATCCTAAGCATACCTACTGTGAAGTAAGTCTTATTGAGTGTAATGGGATTTCCTCTCAGCTCTTCAATCCCTACTGCACTGTGGCCTGAACGATCAAGCGCAGACACACATACCCCCAGCACATAAAGATGTATGTGTTGCTCAGAAAAGTTATTACGTTCTGGAATTAATTGTAATGACTGGCCGACTGAATGAATCCTTCAACCTAGGAATGCTCCTCCTATCTGATGCATTCCACTTGCCCTTTGAACTCTGCACATCTCATACCTCAAAAACATTTAACACAAAGAGATATAAACAGCATGCAGTTGCACTGAGGGGAAAAAAATAGAAGTCAGACGTACCAGAGGAGTAAGAGCTGGTCCAACCGAGAGGGCTGGCACCCCAGGTAGATGATGGCTTGGTGTTTGTTAAGCCTGGCGGTGGTCTTGTAGGAGCAGTAGTGTTTCTGGGTACCTTCCACAGTTCATGGGACAGAGAGGCTTGAGTGTGAGAAATTGGGCCAGAGGACCATGTTGACTTGATGTCTGACAATTTACCTGTAACAGACAAATGCAATTCATGTACCTGTTAGAATGCAGTACTGTATATAACTGCCACCCCACCCCACGGTTTTGCTCTCGTCTTGGCATTAGCATAGTAAGCACTCTGTAAAATCACATCACTGGTTGTAACTGGCAGCGATTCTCCGGTTAGTCCATTTGCCATTTTCTTTGCCACATTCATTAAAGATCCCAAAAGTGTTCCTTATGGCTTTGGCAAAACATCCCACTAGATAAAGAATACTGATTTACAAACTATGAACAGTGCTTAGGTCTCTGGCTGCGGAGCAAGAGGTTGGGAGTTCAATTCCCCACTGTGCCTATGTGAGAGGCATAATAATAATAATAATA